GATTGCATTTCCAACAATTTTAGCAATTGTCAATATACATGTACCAGGAAATGGGTTTCTGTGTCCATTACCATTAGATACCCTGCGGGTAAGCGTGGAATCGATTTCATGTTAAGTTCTAATTGCTGCGTATAGTGTATGTCTAGTTGGGTTGCGTAGAGTGAGGGCGCACTAACACAAATACTATGCGAAAACAATGGAATGGATGAAGACGTCAAAAACTCACTTTTGGCGGTTCACAAAACGTCACGTCGACTGCGACGAAACAAAACTGGGTGATATTTTGGAATATTGCGTATAATTTATTCTCTATTGCTGTCAAATGCGAAGCAGGTAAAAGTCATGACCTGAATTCAAATTATCTCTTCATCATACATAAATCTTAATTTTGGCGAATTTTCCATGTTAGAATAAATTTTCATTTTGTTAAAAAAAACGCCAAAGTAATATATATGCAAATTAGGTTTTGTAATTAACGGGTTCATTATTTTAACGACTTTCTCAATCATGTTTGCGATTGTCTTTGGTATGATAGCGACACGTCTCCCATTAAACGAATGATTTATTTATGCTACACGTGATTTACGACCTGTACTTATATTGTTGTCTCATGTACACACAAAATGGCCTAATCATACGGGCACTCGTATCTAAAACTGAGTGCAGTGCAATGGCTAACATATCCGTCCAGCATCAGTGCGCGGTGTCATGAATGTTAGGAAACATGGATATTTCAGTCCCGAATGCTGTTTCATGATGAAAAATCATAAACGAGTATACTGATCTTAACTATACGTGAGACTTTCTCTCCACTCCTTGTTAATCAGTACGTATTAGTTATATTAGCTATCGAGTATAACATGAAAAATGCACGGCCTATAAATTTAGGAGATGATTCGATTTATTTATGGAATGTCATGCCGTTCACCGTCAGAATTAGTGTGACCTTAAATACAAATTCACGGAAAAAATTATTGAATCAACAAAGCAAAGGAGGTTATAAAATGTATGACCATTATTTAAGAAACCTAAACTATTTTTTTTAAATGTATGCTAGTAGCCCCATTCTGAAAAAAGTGGATCTAATTTGACTCTGCGGTCTTGTTCTGGCATTTTTTGGCACTTCACTCGAGTAATATAAATATTGATATCAGCAGTTGTAATGTATGCTAAATGTTAGATTGGGCAAATATTTTTTGAGATGTTATTTTTATTATGAAATCTGAGAACATTCAACATTTTTAAATTACGTTTTAAATTACCAATATAACTTAGTAATAATTTAAATTCATGATTTGTTAAGACATATGCCTAATAATAAATACGTTACATATTACACCGGACAATTTATTACACTATAGTGCAGTTATTTTTTGTATCGGAATTGCAATTATATGTTTAAAAACATGAAAATACACCGTTTATTTAAAAACTTGCCTAAATCACAAGAAATCACATGTGAAACAATGAAAACAGCAGCACGGTTAACGGTGTTCAAAGTTGCTACCATGTAACCTCTGACCTTCCATCGCATCATGGATAATAATATAATGGCAGCCTAATGGTGAACTGGCTGGCTTATTAAAGCCGGGGAGTCGTCATCTGTGCATGCGTCAGATGGCCATAACGTGTCAATGTTTACAAACAGGCGTCTACCCATGAGCCTTTGCGATTTTAGCGTGTGTTGTTATCGTCGCTTGGGACTCAATTTCCGCGCGTGCGCAGGTGGCGACCCTCCCACTTTAAAATGTATAACCAATTGAATGAATTGTAGTTTTACGTTTTTTTAAATCATGTGACTTAGCTTGTCCCCGGTGAACAGCGTCATTTTCACCGCTATGCGCTGAGCTACATACAACGGCGAGAAGGTGTGAATGCGTTTGCGTTTTGTAGACATAAAGGGGGAATGTCACAGGGTCAACAAACACGTACGTTTCCGATCATAAATACACAATCAAAATACCTGAATTATAGCTCTGAGTTTTGATATGAAAATTTGAAAAAAAAATAATATAGAATAAAACAAATTGCAGCTACAATTGAGCATACAAATATGGATATTGCATGGAAATACACATCGGTAATCTGAAAAAATATGGTAATAAAAGTGGGCATTACATGGTTTTGCGTGTTTTTAGGGCAATACGATGGCAATGGGGATTCTAGACACGTGGTCATTCAAAATAAGTATTATAATAACGTATTTTATAAGGCGTTACATCACATACTAAAGGAACGCATGGCCCCGATATGGTTGTATGGTCAATGTTTTCTTGACACGTACGATTAGAGGCACACTTAGCACATATACTAAAACGTGGAAATGTCACATTAACAGGAATCCATTAGCCCGAATACTAACAAAAACGTGCAAATCATTCAAAGTTTAGATATAAGATTAATCACGTAGTTATTTACTATGCTTGAATGCAGATTCGTTGTGATTCGAAGAACGTAACTATCGATGATGAAGTAATGCAGGTATAAGTGACATGTACATACAACCTTACGCTTCAAAATAATGCACACATTTATAATTTTGAATTTGTTCCCATGGACTCTCAGTATATAATTAAATCACCCAAGTTTTGTAGGAACTAAGTTAGTTCAGTTTAAATCGAATCGGTCGATATTGAGAAATAAGTTGGCGATGAATAATCTGCCTATACACCACAAACTTTCTAAAGACCACATAAAGACAATTCGTTCACTAAATGCCTTCGTCCTTTCTAATATTTCCATTTATATATTTCACACTCATTGTGCTATAGTACATTGTCAACTCCCTTAGTCTACTGCGCCATGCTGATTGGAAGAGTGGAACATGGAATTGAATAAATCACAAAAGACCATTTTCAGTTCAATTCAGGATCCCCCGTTATGCGTGAAATAGAACGTGAAAACAGAACAAAACAAAAATCATAGCGTGGTAGTGACGTCAAATCATCGCGTTGGATTCGACAAAGGCAAATATATAAGGGTATTTTCATGCTTAATAATGTACTGTACACATTTGATGATAGTCAATGAATTAAGTGTATTCCAACGCAAAATTCCCCTCTACGACGATATGCTGGCATTTCGACATTGAATTATATAAAAAAACAAAATCAAAGTCGTTCGATTTATGCGGCAGACGTTTGGTCAACACCTTTCACGCAGTATGCCAGATCTCGCATTGAACTTATTGAAAATACATAGGTATATACAAATGGCATCGACATCAAATGGTGTATGCATGCAGGACGAACCACACAAACACACCGTGCTGGCTGGCGAGTTTGCAAAGGCGAATATTCGGAGTTCGAATACGGGCAGGTTTGATACACTTGATTACTACTATATTGAAAATAATCTTGTCAACTTGGTTACAAACAATTTCAATTGTGCAACGCGATTAGCTGACCAAATCGCGACCACGCGAATCGCTTGTAATAAACCAACACAAGTTTAATACGCCAACTGCCATTCGTACCGCCACATGAATTTGACATTCAAGTACATTCCGAATTTCGAGATGACAAAAAAAATTATCTGTAAACGTCTGAATATAAGAAGATTTTACTCCGTGGTGCGAAATATATTCAGTACAGTGGCGCCTTGGTGAATAACTGAATCATCAGGAGACAAAAACTTAAACACCCCTCAGTTGCAGTAATATTTAATTATGAATAGCACAGGGTAAGTGAAGAACACTGAATTATGTTTCTCATAGCACGGCCGCTTGAGGGCGTCGTATATTTAGTTTGTATTAGTGCTTCGGTGCGGTCGAGTTTACCGTTGGTGGCGTTTGATGTCAGTTTACTCGTCTTATGTTATTTGATGGCAGGCAATGTATACTCACTGCCGTTGGTGTGCTATACTTGTTTGTGTAAACACAGAGAAACTCACTTGACCTAGTTACCTGAACAATTCCGAATGTATCGAATGCAGACGTGGGCAACATTAGAATATAGCCCCCCTCTCCCCATTTCGCGCACTGCCTCATGAGAAACTAATCATTTTGACCTACCCAAAAAGAAGAAATCTAATTTAAAAAAATGTAATTTACGTCATTGGCTGATAAACAATATGCACGATTCTATTTGTATTATGACAGATCTGCAAAACAAGGTGCATTTCGTATTATAGAAATACTATCGTGTCGACACCATTACGTGACCAACAGTCAAACGCACACTCGTGCGAACCTTGGTTCCAGGAAATGCTTGCCCTGCAAGGTGGAATATTATTTTTACAGATGACTACGAAAAAGGTTGAAAATTCATGTTGCTTGTTAGACATCACATTATAACACGCCAGAGTTAAAACATATTTATTGTCTTACAGTATTTAATAACTAAGACTTAAATACAATCATGCAACATTTTTATTTCATTTCGTGTCAAAAGTAGTTTGAGATGCTTTTTTTGCCAACTTACATGATACTATGTTGTATTTTACGTCATACATTGGAAATAAGTATGGCATTAATTTGTACGTAATTTGCATACTAATGTACTACTTCAGGATGTTATTGTTTACTTCCGCATGTATTATATTGGCTCGTTGTTACAAATGAATTGTTTAAAATCGGTGCTATTGACTATATGTAGCGTCCAAGGTTTAATATCAAAGCTGGGTCAATGAGAAGTGTACTGCACAATCAGATAACCATGCT